GGTTACCGTGCCAGATTCTGCTTTATTTTCATTCGTTTTCGCCAGCTATGACGCTCTGCTAGTTTAGCTTGAACGAACTGGGGGCAAGACAGCTTTTGATCATGAGTAAAATTTGAGTTAATTTTGAGCAACTCTGAGTAACTCGAGTTGCTCAACAAGCAATGCACGGTAACACAGCAATCTTGTTGCGTTTATTCCCCAACTGTAAAAGAAAGACGTTCAACGGTGATAAATTTTCCTAAATTCTGCAGCTTCTCATTGTCGAAAAGTGAATCCTGATGAATGTGGGCGTCTAAGTGGAATAGCTGTATAAATAAAGAGAGCAAATGGTGGTTTACACTGAATAATTATCCATAAATAGATCCCATGACCTTCCTACTGCTTCGTGCCAATCCTTTGTAAGCCGTTTTCATTCAAATCTAGTGCAGGCTGTTATGGGTCGACGTTGACCGAAGCATTTGCAAATTTTAAAATATGATAAATTTGGTTATACCCCGGACAGACTATGGCTTATATCATGTAATATAGGCTGTCTTGCAATGAGCACTCATACATAGGATTTCCAGTGAAAAGTAGATGTATGAGTGCTCATTGCAAGACAGCCTATATTACATGATATAAGCCATAGTCTGTCGGGGGTATTAAATTGACCACAGTTTGAATATTCGAAAGGCATCAAAGTTACGACTACTACTTTGAAATAGTATTCTCTTTTGTCTGAATGCCCAAGAATGAGCGCAGAAATTTGAGGCAGTAACTTCTTAGTTCTGCACTAATACTTGCACTGCAAAAAAATGTAATATCGAACAATGTAATTCAAGCTGATCTATGAAATAATGATGTAATAACAAAAAGCAGATACAATATTACATCAATGGATGTAATTTTGTTCGCAAAATCGATGTACATCGTACATCTTTATATTACACAACGGATGGATTGACCTGGTTGCAGCGGTTTGGATGAAATATTCAACAACTTTTTTTTTCTGTGTTGGCACAAACATTTCTTATTGCCACTAGGTTCGACCCGAGATTAATAGAAAGCAATCCATTGTCATCGTATAGCCATATTTAAAATTTTAAGTTTCCATAAAACCAAATCAAGCTCCCATCCATCTTGAATTCTCAACTTATTCATTCCTATTTGAGATGATGAAATTTGCAATTGTAGATGTGCAGAACCTCTGATTTGCCAAGCACATGAAGGCCTCATAAATTACGTCTAGCTGGGTGATACGGATTACCTTATTTTCCTTCAAAGCAAAATTCTTAGATTTCATGTGAATGTGAATGCATTCAAGTGATTCAATAAGGATTTGTATCAAGAATATAATAAAATAATTCTGATTCTCCTCCTCCTCTGACACATAATGTTTATTCACACTGTGGTTTGTATTTGTTGATGAACATAAGGCCAGACTACTTTGATCATTCTTGAGTAATTATGAGTTACTCAAATTTACTCGGAGCAAAAATATTTACTTTGAGTACAGCTGGTTTGCCCCTAGTGAACGAACCTATGTGTATGTAAAATCGAATGGGTAAATGTGTGTTTGTGTGTGTGTGTGTGTGTGTGTGTGTGTGTGTATGTGTGTATGAGAGAGTATTACAACCAAATGGCACTCGCTTATTTTCAAAATTTACAGTATCTACCTGAACAGTGAAATACTTTATGGGGTAAACGGTTGGTGATAAACATTGAATTACAAGGCAAAGAAACCTTACTCTTGCTACACACACAAATTATAAAAATAGACTAATGACACATGGTTTTTCTAGTGTTACACTCCTTTATTCTAGTACATCAATTGAGGTACTAGATTTAAAAACTTAGCAACATTAGTAAACTGATGCTGGTCATGAGAATCAAACCGAGAGTAGTTTACTCAAGTATAATTTTAATCTAGTACCACAATTGATGTAATAGATTAAAGAAGGACAGAAGTAGTACTCGGTAAGTTTTTTATAGGTATCTGCAGAAAACCGTTGTGTTACGGAAGTTTTCTGGAAGTATGACCTTATAAAGGGATAAAATTTTGCCACGAAATGATGCAAAACATGCCATTTTCAAATGGCTCGCAATCGCCAATCCGGACGACTCCGGACGAGATTCCAATGCCATTGTGTTCATAATAACGTGAACTTTTATTCGTCCATAGATTATATGATCTGATCGCGCAAGATTCTACAACTTTTTCAAGTCTGAAACAGCACAAAAAAACATAAAAAATACATTTCTTTCATATTGTTGAAAAAATAAGACATTATTTAAATTTAAAGGTTTTCATCTCATAACTTGTTAGAAAAGAGCCCAAAGTACCCATTTTATTATAACACTTGTCTCTTGATCAAATTGTTTATATCTTGTAGGCGTATTTATTACATGGTTACTTTTTAGAAAACAAGAAGCTTCGAATTTATTCAGTTTTTGAACACGTCGCAAAATTTGTAAACAAAATGTAACGTTTTTACTCCGTTGCCACTTTATGCTGCATATATTGAAATATATATAAAAAATATAGAAGCATGAAAAATCAAGAAAATCTTGTTTTCTTATTTTGGCCAGGTTTTTGTTCCAGTTACTCCTCTGTGCGATGTGCGGTATAAGAGGTGAGGAGAAAGGAAACTAGTGGGCTCTTTCGTTCTCGCGTCTTCTTACGCAGCAACAAACGTGACGTCACGTCTGCTGTTGCATAAGAACTTCGTCAGAATGAAAGAGTCCACTAGTTTCCTTTCTCCTCACCTTTTTTACCGCACATGAGCTGCGGCACACTGAGGTACACTGAGAAAAAAGTTGGCGCAAAACTAGTGTGTAGAGTGACCACACCTTGGATATCGCAACTTTATATGAATAAAATGGGATGGTTTTCTAAAGAAAATTTAATTTTCAGCATTATTTTTGAAAATACGTTGTTACGTGTAAATTTCGTGACCTGTTGAAAATTCTATATTTCCAGTAGATTCTCAAAAGATCCAAAACAAAAAAAATGCATGGATACAATTAAACGGTCCTCAAGCAGTATCAACTTTATGTGGATGGGATGGTTGATTTTCTAAAGAAATTGAATTTTGATGATTACTTTAAAAAATACGTAGTTACGTGAAAATTTCATGACCTGCTAAGGATTAAATCATCTCAAAATATTCTTATATCTTCCAGAAATAATCTGCATGGGCACAAATTGAACATACCTCAAGGTATCTCAACTATATAAGGATGGAATGTTCATAGTTACATGAAAATTTCGTGACCTGCTGAGGATTAAAGCATCTAAAAATATTCTATATAAAGTTGACATACCTTGAGGTACGTTTAGTCTGTATTCATGCAAACTGTTTCTGGAACATTTTAGAATATTTTTGAGAAGATTTAATCCTAAATAGATCACGGAATTTTCACTTAGCTACGTATTTTGTAAAATAATCCTTAACTTTTAATTTCTGTTAGAAAATCAACCATTCCATCTATATGAAGTTGTGATACCTTGGGTACGTTCAACCTGTAGGTAACAACAAAATACAGATTGATTCTGTATACTTAGAGATATTTAAAAATGCCCTTTTCCATGGTTGTTGGTCATCTACATTTAGTGGTAATCAGAATGCTTAGGTATTTAAGGGTGTTTCGAAATACTTGGTTCAAAAACACGTTTTTTATTATAAAGTATTGTAGAATACACTTTAGTAATATGTTTTTTGGGTCAAATCGGGCTAAAATTTTCCGATGAATCCAAACCCGAGGGCAGATTTTACATATAAAGTATTTAAAAAGTTGTATATAAGTAAGTACGGTTAATTTTGGTTTTTACGTTCAAAATCATTGGAGGTTCGCTATGGTACGCCATTGGTACACTACGAAAAACATAGTTTTATCAACTTTTGTGAAAAGTGTCCTGCTGAATAGAATAGAATGAACTCATGTCTTTCACCGTGAGAAGCATGGATGCCAACAATTCTCGCCAGGTCCGTATCCAGTTAAATTTGGTGAATGCATAATCAGTTAGCAAATTGATTAAATTGAATGCAGGATCAGTTTTCCGTTTGATTCGTCTGTGTAAAAACATGCTCTCAGTTTTGCCGTTAATGCATACCAAATGAGACTAACTGGAGGAATCAAAAGAGCGACATCATAACAGCAAATTGTGATTTCAATTTGATCTCCAGCTTTGCTCGGGTAACGACACCATCAGTGCCAGAAACACATCCGAACTCTTTTGTTGTTTTGTGCCACATTCATTCCACGAAAATAATTCAGTTTCTGAAAATTGAAGGGACCGACCATAGTAATCCAAATTGGACCATAAGTAGTTGTTGCACGATTTTTGTCAATTTTTAAATGTCCAAGGTTTTTCGTGTTTCAAACTTAGCAAGTTGGAAAAACAATAATCAAAAATATTTAACAACGAATTTGTTTGTTATTTTAGTTTTTAGAACTATTTTGGATTCTTTGAAAATATCCGTCTAGTCTAGAAACAACATTCTTTCAGACGTCATTTGGATTAGTTGTGGCATTTTCATGCTACAATTTATTGAAAAAAGTCAAATACGCCCTTTTTGAATAAAATGGCCAGATCGAAAATGACCAAATTTTAGCACAAAATCGTGCAAAGTTTCATGCAAATCGAAGAATGTGAAGTCTGGCCGATTCGTTATTTGATGTGTAACTGCTTTACGTGAACTTCTAGTTCTTGCATAGTTTTCAAATTCTGATGAAAAATGTTTATCACCCCCACCGCTTAGGCTGCTTTCCCGGAAGGAGCTGGCGTTGTTGGTTTTCGTAGCTGATTTAATGCGTTGTCGCGTTCCATCAGATAACGAAAGGCGTGCTTCGTTAATAGCTTAAACAAACAGGAGGAACTTTGTGTCGGTTATGGTTACGTACCAATTTCCTCGACAAAAAAAAAAGCTTTTTGCATTCGATGATGGAATTTAAACTTTTAACGCATACCTACTCAGTTGCGCACTCTCGACTAATGATACCTACTTAACACTTTCCAGCTACAACCTGGTGTTCCTCATCCTGACGTACGGCATCCCGATGCTGATAATGATCGTCTGCTACTCGCTGATGGGCCGGGAACTCTGGGGTAGCCGGTCCATCGGGGAACACACCGAACGGCAGCTCGAGTCGATGAAGTCCAAAAAGAAGGTAAGTGCTTCCTCTGTTTTGCAATCGTAAAAAAAAAAGATGCCTTATTGCTGTCAACGAATATCACGGTTCTTGCCACCGTTACGGAATATGAGCATAATTTTACAGCTCATCGATCGAACAAAAACCGATTATGGCTGCGGCTCGGTTGCCGTTAAATACGACATCAATCTCGGCAGCACCCTGCCTCCGAAAGTAGGCACGCCAGCAATGCGGCAAACGAGTGCGGGGTACCTTTATATTTATGGCTTCACATTTTGTTGTTTATGGGCTGGTTGGAGTGTAAGCAAAACGACGAAACCGAATATGCCAATATTGGCGTCGGGGGCGGTGTGATGGCAGTTTCCGTAAACTTGGGAGGGAAATACGTTTTCCGTGGAACAACGGTAGACCGATTCGTTCAAGGTTCTTTGCTTCGCACAGAATTTTAAGAAAGCCTGGCAGAGGTACTCTGGAGTAAATTCCGGGGGTCTTTTGGAGTACACTCTATTTCAAACCTAGTCAAATTTGGCTAGAACTCACCAAATAATCAATAATATCTCAAAATGACAAAATGATAAGCTACGAACCGAATGATAACGCTATGTCTACAAAGGTAAGCAATAATGATTTGATCTCCTTTTTTTTCGTGACAAACTGCCTTTGCCCTTATTACCGATGTCACTTCACGGTGAAGTGACAACTTATCACTCAAGGTGAAGTGATTCCCATTTCATTTACATGGCAATCACTTCACCGTGAGTGACAACTGATCACTTAACTTCGTTTTCACCGTGAAGTGACACTCGTAATAAGGTCCATAGTTCGCTTGGGCCGGTAGAAGGAAACGAGCAAATTGTTGGAAAAGGGTGTCCATACAAGGGTGTTAATGAGAATTTTTTTGTAATGTCTTTTCTCGTTTCTGATCAAGCTATGTCCTCAACCCAGTATATTGCACGCAGGGAAAAGAACGTAAGAATTCTATAAGAAACACTTATGAATTTTAGCCATAAGAAATGAGTGTGAATTTCACTGTAGGGTGGGACGTGCTGTCTACAGCCTACTGATCATTCTTGTATGAAACTGGTTCCAAACGTAAACAAACGCTGTAGGTTTCTTATGGCTTATTTACTTTTGGAACCAGTTATGCGAGGTAGGCGACGATTGTTCGTATTTGACAGCCATCTCCCCCCTTGGAATTTCATTGGTTGCCTTCCCTGATAAACAATACCATAAACGAAGTGTATCCCGGATATGTAAACTATCCCACAAATGGTTAGGATGATACCCCGAACACGTCATTAAGCTCTATTTAATGGTTATTTTTTATTAGGGTTATGAAAAATAATGTTGAAAAAAAAAATAAGAAATTGGAGCAGATTGGAACCAGAAAATGGACGGTGAGGTTAGGGGGCCCGTGTGTTGACCACTCGTCTTTCAACGCTTGGGAAAATGAAATGGTTAAAGGCGTATAAGAGCTACCTCATGTTTCCCAAAAATCATTCATAAGTCACGCTTATGGCATTCATATATGTTGTTCATAAGTCGAGCCTTATTAAATTCTTAGGTCTATTTGCCTCAGTGTGCAACAAAGCAGGCAAGCAATATATCATTATCCAACTCCGATCAAGCTATATTACAGAGAGAGTTTATCGTGGTAGTAGTAGCAAACGTTTTATCAGTATCGTTGATTGCTTTGTGTGTTTGGATTCACTGCATACTAACTTGAAAGTACCCATTAATGACTAAATTTTACCCATTTTAAAGAAAAGTGACTTAACTCATGAAATGAGTGTAAAAAGTGCCCATTTAATCGAAAATATTGCTTCATTTGCTTTCTACCTAAGTTCATTTTAAAATCATTGATAGGAGTTTTTAAGTAAAATCCTTAAACAATTGTTTATTTCACAACTGAAAAAAAAAAAAAAAAAAAAAAACATGAAAATATGTTATTCCGCTAGCGTTCAAAGCCAAATCACATCACAACTTCGAGCTGATTCAGTTGCATGAGGTCTTCTTTCTTCAAAATGCTCCCATAAAGGAATTTTCAACTCCTCAGCCGTATCCTCCTCTTGCACCCGCTTTCGGTGCAACAACTGGTAAAGGGCTAAATTCAAAAAGTGAGTAGAAGATACTCATTTCATGGGTACTCTCAAGTTAGCGTGTGAACTGAACCTTTCCTAAGACGGGTAAACGCAACGGGGGGAGGTGGCTGTCAAATACGAACAATCGTCGCCTACCTCTCATAACTGGTTCCAAACGACAACAAGCAACGATGATTTGTTGATTTTTTTTTTTCCTTGATTTGTTTTCCGTCGATCTTGATTTCCGTGCTGGGCACCAATGCTACCGACGCCAGGAAGGCAGTTCCCACATCTGGACCCTACCTATCGACCCATCATCTCATGAACCGGGGACCAACGGCTTTACTTCCCTTCCGAAGGAAGGCGTGATCAGAGATGTTATGCCTTAGAACATCCCGGCGGCGCCGACTGGGATTGAACCCAGGCCTGCTGGGGGTGAGAGGTAATCACGCTTACCACTACACTACCGGCGCCGCTTGATTTGTTGATATGTGAAACCAAATTCACATATCAAGAGCCACATGTGAAAAGGACATACAAGCTTTTTGTAAACAATCCTTTATATGCCCTTTTCACACCAACCAAGGTTCGCCCACGCAAACCAACAACATCATCGGGAAGGAGAAAGTTTCCCCTACCGGGTGATGTTGATGGTGTGCGTTGGTTACAAAAAGCTTGTATGCCCTTTTCACATGTTGTTCTTGATATGGAAAATCAATGAGCGTAAACAGGTTCGGACCAGTGAATTTGTCGTCTCTTTCGTTATTCGGTTGTTTAGTTGCACGTCACACTCGTATAACAATTAAAAAAGCGAGAGAATGAAAGAAAAGGCAAGTTCACTGCGCCTTACCTATTTACATATCGTTGATGGATGATCAGTAGGCATATTTCACGAAGTTGGCAGTGACCCATGTCAATCCCATCAAACTTATTGGTATTAGTGAAATGTGGAAATGTTTGATGGTTTTCGTATTTCATAGCATTGTTAATCTTTTTACACGAAACAGCTGTTTTCTGTGAAGACACTGTTCGCAGTGTGGATTGTTAGGATGACGTGACGTCGCCATTCGCTTCCTCAGCAATGTTTACAACATTTTATGCTTCTAACACCAGCAAGCTGGCTGTTGTGCCAGACCTATGTATGATAGACATCGGGGAGTGACAAGTTGACAAATGATCAACATCGATCTGAATCCGATTGATGTTGTTCATATGTCAACTTCGTTTACCTCACTTTTGGGTTGGTTCAGTTTTAACCGATCCGGGAAGATTCTACCCAATTTTGGATAGTTTTAGATAGAGCTGGAATTAAGGCGTAACAGCTTTTGTAAACAATGACTTCTCTCGTTGATTTCTAGCAACTCAAGGCATGCCTACACAAATCAACATATCCATCGGGTAGAATAAGTCTTCCCCTATTCGATGGTAATGTTGATTGCCAGCAGGGTGCCTTCCATTCATTTTGGCGAAAAACATGTTTTATGAAATTGTGGAATAATAGGATATTATGATAATATTCTGTATGTGTAAGTAACAAGAAAAGATTGTAAAGTTTATGTTTGACACACAAAACATGTAAATTAAGCTTTAACAGAGTCACAATGAGCGATTTTCTGATAATGGGTGAGATAAATGACAAAATCGCTTATTGCGACGCTAATGTAGCAAAATTGGCAGGTATTATGCGTCAGACACAAACTTCACAATATTTTCTTGTTGCTTACACAAACAAAATATTATCATGTAATCTTATTATTCCATAATTTCATAAAGCATTTTCTTAGTCAAAATGAATGGAAGGCGTTAATACGTTAAAAATCTTTAAATGCTCAGTAAATATTTAAAGTACGCTCCCTAAAATAGCGCATTGTGTGCATTTGTGCATTTTTACTGAACATTTCAGCTGATTTCATGGTACTTATTAACCTTTCTACAGCAGCTTTTCCGATGATATATGGTACAATTACACTTCAAAATGGTGCAAAGCGGTGCATACTAAGGAGCATTTTCAAATGCTTAATGTACAGTTTTCTCTATTTTAGGGAGCGTACTTTGAATATTTACTGAGCATTTTAAGATTTTAACGTATTTTGATCAATTATTTAAGGAGCAACCCAATTTATTTTATGGAGATTTTTTTACTTTTTTTTTTTTATCTAGTTCGTTTATTTGGAAGGCTCAATCGCGTTAGCTTTACGGAGCCGATAATTCATTGTTCACTGTGTGTAACAAAATTCACTTAATTCTATGTCTAGTAGGAGTTGGGCCGATTACTCGCGGCTTACTCGAGGTTAGAAGGGTACATTTTCGAAGGATAGGATCAGGGGAGGAGCTTGGGGTAGGGTTTTGTTGTCTCATCAGAGCGTTGTCGCCAGTATGAACGGTAGTGCTGTTCTAGCTTCGTCCGGAGTTCGACCGGCTATGGTGACCAGTGGGCGACGATGAGACTCATCGAGACGGGGGGACAAGACAAACAAAAACTAATAAAGAGAGACAAAAGACAAAAGGAATTAAATTCTTATACTAGACATTTGAAGAAAAACATAAACGGACTGCATATAGCAGAGATCACGGGTTGCCAACACGTCTCTGATAGGAACATAGGGTTGTCTTCCTTGGGCCTCGAGGGTATTCAAAAGTCGCTCTCTGGCGGCGTCATTATCCGTACATTGCCAAACTGCGTGTTCGATGTCATCGTAACCGTTTCCACACCGACAGATGTTGCTGTCCACGAGGTTTATTCTATTGAGATGAGCATCTAGCGAGTAGTGGTTGGACATAAGTCTACTCATCACGCGAATGAAGTCACGACTTAAGCCCAAGCCTTTAAACCACGCTCTCGAAGAAACATTAGGAATAATTGAATGTAACCACCGTCCAAGATTTCCAGTGTCCCAATCGGTTTGCCAACTCGAAAAGGTACTCTGACGCACTAAA